TGTGCTGGCTTTGGACTGTTCACATTAGACACCCTATACAGATCAAAAGGTTGACCTTTCTGCTGCTGCTGAAAAGACTTCATAAACTGGATACACTTTGTTCCTGTAAGAACTGAATGACTCAGTAGAATTACTGAAAAGTGAAGTAAAATCAGTTAATTTCACTCTTGCCATAGCACCTATATAACTTCTCTGTCTGTGATTACAGCTGGTGAACAGACCTGGTAGGCATCTTGCAAAGGTCCTGTAGATCAACTCAACCTTATCCTACTTGCATTTAAAAACCACCCATGATAAAGATCCCACAGCCTCCCAGAAAAGCCCTTCTTGGCCTCAGCTGTGGCACGTTTCAACTGATGAGACATTTGTCTATAACCTTGTCCCATTTCCTAGGTCTTACTTGGATGTTGAATGTACCCATATTCCATTTTAAAGCACCTCACTGCAGGGGATATGCATCTGGCACATCTGGGTCCTAGCAGGATCCTCTGGGTACGATGCCACTGTATTTTGTTTTTGATTTAGCCTCAATATATTCACACATCTCTGCCCTTTCCTCATGCCACAGGGGCTGCACTGGTGCCTGCCCTTGCTTTCTGGTGCTTCAATGGAATCCTTATGGTGGCTGATATAACAGGAAAGCCAACTTTCATTACTCGCTATCGCATTCAGCTGGGCAAGAATGATCCTGTAAGTATTTCTTACTCTGACTCTTCTGCTTGCTAAACACTTCCTGCTGTCTCTCAAGCCAGGAGTAGGGAGAAGAACCTGTTATGCTTTCCTCTTGTAACCAGATAGGGTTCAAGGACAACCAAGCTGAATCTTCCATATGTACTGCAGAGAGGAAGGCAGTTCCTGGGATGAAGCTACCGATCAGCTCTGAATTGGCTGCTTGTTAAAAAGCTGATCACAAAACTAACATGGGAACTGCCTACAGAACTTAGAGCTCTTTCTCCTTCCCATTCAAAGCTGCATTGCTCCTGACTTAGCCTCAAATCCCGAATTCTCTTTTGCAGGTGGACACAAAGAAGTTGCGCCAAGCCATCTACACAGCGCTGTGCAATCAGGTCTTTATCTCCTTGCCCATGCTTCTGCCCATGTTCTACATCCTGCAATGGTGGGGTAACACCTTCAGCAAGGAGTTACCCACCTTCCGCTGGTTCCTTCTGGAGATGAGCATCTTTACCATAGTGGAGGAAATTCTCTTCTATTATACACACAGGTGAGCTGAGCACAGGAACAGGACTTTGTGGTTTCCTCCATGCCTTTAAGCTCATACCCATCCCTTGAAACAGCTGTAGTCCCAGTCCCCCCTCTTCTACCTATCTTCTATACATATGAGATGACTTACAGTCCTGAAATCCACCCTTACAACATGAGGCTTTGGTGCTGCCAGTAACTACAGTAAGAAAAATGGGTAAAATTACAAAGGTGGATCAGCTTAAAGGCTAAGGAAGAAACAGCCCTGAGGGCTTTACACCAAAGCTGTGACCCAGCGTTCCTCGAAAAGAGAAGAACAAGACTGACTGTCCTGAAAGAAAAAAGCTCAGAAGGTCAATGACTGAGGTACTGTTCATTTGTACGGCACCTACAGAACAGGGCTGCTGACACTGCAGGCTTTCTAAGCACTAAAGCAAGGAAGAAAAGAGCCTGCAAAAGACTGTGCAGGAGCAAGCGCAGCATTCTCAGCAATAGGTTTCCCTTTTGGACAAATACAGATAAAAAACTCAAAAAGCCATTTCTTACAAAGAACCCACAGAACCTGAAGTTCTGACTCTGGTAGCTGCCAGCAGGAAAAGTCAAAACAGTGAAAATACAAAGCATGTCTTTCCCTAAGGAGTGCTCCCAAGGTTGAGCAAGAGTCATTCAGGGACTGATTTATGGGACTTATCTGGACTTAAGTTTAACATCAGCCAGTGGGCACATCAATTGAGTAAGGCTACAGTATTCAATACAGAGAGGAAAACTACACTCTTATTTCCACTGCTCCAAAATTGTTATGTTAGAAGGGGTATGAGCAAGTCCCCAGCAGGAATTCTGTGTTATGATACCTTATGTTCCTTTCCTGCAGAGCTCAGACCCTGCCTTTCTCTGTGTTCTCTGCTTAGGCTTGTTCACCTCCCACTCCTGTATAAGCACATTCACAAGAAGCACCACGAATGGACAGCCCCCATCGGTGTGGTCTCCATTTATGCTCACCCAGTAGAGCACATAGTAAGTGGATTCTCCCATGGTCACCCTGCACAGTGTGATTTCCATGGGATGTGGAGGAGTGGTAAGAAAAGCAAATTAAACAGCACTTCTTTCTTAGGAAGTTCAGCTGCACTGCCAAGTGCTACTTGTCTGTAGAAGGGTTGCAGTATCTGTTTATACCAGATGCTTTAAGAGCACAGATCCAAGGACCTGGGCAGCAACAGCCGTTCATGCCACTGGTAGGACACAGTGAGGTGATGCAGCCGGATCATCACACTGATGCTGTTGAACACGTGCACAGGCTCTGCCCTTTTACACTGAGGTTTCCCAAGAGCAGCTTCAGATTATTCCAAGATGAAATTCAGACCTCAGGCTCCAGGGGGATTTACTGGAATGATGCTGCCTCCACAGCTGTGGGTTGATCTCAAGTCTAACTTCTAGTACAAGCTTAGAGCTTGGGGTGGGACTATGTTAGTAAAACTCAGCTCACTAATTCTTTCTTTGATGCTGCTGTGATTTTAGTAAGGTGTTTGAATCTGCTTGTCATGGACCCATTAATAAGGCTGAGTTTGCTATTCATTTCTAGCTGTCCAACATGTTGCCTGCCATGACCGGCCCGATGCTCATAGGCTCTCACATCGTTTCCATCGCAGTGTGGTTCTCCCTTGCTCTGGTAACAACGAGCATCTCACACTGTGGATACCACCTGCCCTTCCTGCCATCACCGGAGTTCCACGACTTCCACCACCTCAAGTAGGTCTGGGCACCGCTCGGCTCCCTCTTCCCCTCCTGCAAAGCTCCTTTCTGAGGGTCAGATAGGTCTGCATAGGAGAAGCTTACCCCATCCCAATAGGCGGCTGAATGCTGTTGGTTCCTAAAGCAATTAAAGAGACCGGGGCTTTGGAGGACTCCAGCCCTACAGCTGCTGGGCACCTTATTGACATCCAGCCTCCTCCAGCAGCTGACTTGGAAACCTCCTCCAAAGCATGAATGCTGAGGCTGACATTCCAAGTTCCTGGAGATTATATGGGAACAAAGCACATAGTAGGGTAGAAGTAGCAGCTACCACTGGACTTTCCCCAGCATGAACATAGAGCAGACAGTTCTGTGCAAGGCTCTTCCTAGGAGTTCAGGAGAACTGCATGTGATCTAGAATGAAGACAGAGCAAGGGCAAGCCACAAAGCTGGAATAGATTTGCAGGAGCCTCTCTGTCCCTTTCCCATAGAGGGGGATTAGTAACAGTGATCAGGTAACACCTTGCTTAGGCAATCCCCATTAACCTAGAGGTTCCAGGCCACCTCTTACACTGGAAAGAGCAGGGTTCCAGCAGGTTGTTCCAGGGATATAATGCCACAGCAGTGCAAGAGCTGTTCCCATCTCGCACATGTGCTCCCAGTTCAGACATATTCTCCCCCCAACAGCTTGCCCCTCCTGCAGAAAGAGCCAGCATGACAGCTCTATCAACACCCAAGTGCTGAACACCACCCACACCACAGTGCTGGTTCTCATTAGCAGTCCTATCCGCAAGCTCAGCTCATGTCAGCACTGCAGAGCTGAGATGCTCTCAGTGGCAGAAGTTGCATGGATCATCAGGGCTCCGAATAGAGATGGAAGTGGGGAAGTCAGGGTAACCCCAATAACATCCAGTGATGCTCATTCCATTTCCCAGGTTCAACCAGTGCTACGGAGTGCTGGGAGTGCTGGATTACCTGCATGGAACGGATACAGTTTTCAGACAGACCAAAGCCTACGAGAGACACAGGGTCCTGCTCAGCCTCACGCCGCTCTCCCAAAGCATTCCTGACGCACCCAGGAGGGCAGAGTGAGCCAAGGCAGCAGCCAGAGACAATGATTTGTGCCAAACAGTACTTGCATTGGGACCCAAGTTATTGTTCACACATAGCAGAGCCCAAAGCTGAACATAAACACACTACTTGAGATGACTGCACTTTTGCTGCTGTTATTTTCTCCCCAAGGCACAAACCACTGCTCTAGGAAGCTATTTTTAAACAAAGTTGAGTGTTTTCATTACTTGCACTGTTGCTTGGTTCCAGCTGCCTGCACCGGGGCAATGTGCTCTGGGCCACGGGGGGAGTTCCTGGGGTGCTCTCATGGCTTTAACACTGCAGTGTTCACAGGCCATGCTTTGGCCTCTCTCGGCAGCATTCTATAGAAATACCAACCAGATCATGGTAACTACACGGGATTAAACCCGCTATTCTGAGAGTCAGGATGCCTGGGATGTGCGATGCAACCCCATGAGAAGGCACGGAGCTTTAGAAACACCTTACCCTGCACATGCGGAGGTCTGACTTCCCTTGAGCAGTTTCTTTGTGCCAGCTCTGAATGAAGGGCAATCACATCCTCATCTGTGCTCCACAAACCAACACCTGCAAACAGTGAGTTTCCCCTCATGGGACAGGGAAGGAGAGCCGGGAGCTGATGCATGACACGGCAGAAGCCTCCTCTGAGCTGCATCTCATTCCCCACACACCCTAACGAGACACAACCCAAACCAACGTACAGTGACAACCTATGGAAAGAGATTTGCCAAGGGAAGAAGTTGGGTGGAGAGCAGTGGAACCCTAAGGAAGGACTCAACAGAACACAGCCTCATGCACATCAGTTTGTATCTACACAACCAAGATGCTGCCAGTGCCCTCCAGGATCTTTTCAAGCCTCCATCCTGTCTGAAGGCCTCGGGCAACAGTCATGTATCTCTCACCACCTCTAGACCAGGCCCAACGGGGGCACACACACAGGGCAGACTGCTCACCCCCCCCCAGCTGAGTAGAACACAGCTCTGTTGTCTTTTGAAGTTTTTATTTTTATACATTTTTTTTGTATTAAAAAGGAAAAAGCATAATTACCACAAATTACAAAGGACTAAAGCATTACTAGAATAATGAATCACATCAGCCTAGAAAGCAGATACTCTGAATAATATTAATGTTATAATACAAGCTCTCATTCAAGTATTTTACATTTTTTTTTCCTCTTTTCCTTTTATACGTGATGATGATCCTAGCACATGGGTCAAAGATTATGTTCTATCGACAGAAGATGGATCATGTACAGCAGGGCCATATTAACAAGATTTTTCCTCCCAAGTGATACATGGTCTGTGATGAGTCATTTTAGGTTTGTCTCTACGATAAATGCAGCTGAAGAAGGTTGCACACACTTTCTAGTTTGGGGGAACAGAAGGCTGAGGTTGGGACACACACGGGGTTGGAGAAGGGCCAGCACATGGAAACACCCCTTTTGCTCCAGGTGAACGCGCAGCTCAATGAGGGGTTCTGAGCCACGCATCCAAAGGTTTCCAACCCCAATGGGACCAGGACAGGAGGAAGAGGAGCAGGGCTGCTCCGGGGAGGCTCGAGGGACCAAGAGGTGCCACTTGGGCTGTCACCCAGAGGGTAAACCACAGGGGACAGTGCAGGGACCCAGGGCAGGCAGTACCCAAGGTGCTCCCTGCTCCCTCTGGAGCTTCCCACTGAGGGGATGTGCTTGTCACAGATACATCGGTCCTATGTTCAAGTGTCTGCAGAAAGTGAAACTGTAAACTACTCATTGAAACGCTGCCCCCAGCCCCGAGATGAATGTTGTCTTTACAATAAAAAACAGAAAAGGAAAAAAAGGAAGTAATCCATCTATTACCTGGACTGGAAACTTGGGGGGGGGGGGGGGGGGGAACCCAAAGAAAAGAGTCAGTGAGTCATTTAACACCAAGTGTAGCAACCCTCTCTTAAAAAAGAGCCTAGCAATCCATTTCAGAACAGTGACAAAGGGACATAACCAGCCTCGGAGGAGATGGAGAAATGAGCATTGCAAACACAGCTTGCTACATGTACAGTTTTCCTTTTTTTTTTTTTTTGTCCTTTTCCTTTTGATACGATAACTGGAAAGGCATTAACAGCTAAAGGCCCCCTCTGCTCTGCCGTGCGGAGCACGTACGGACGCGTGGCAGGATGCTGAGGTTAACACATCGTATTGTTACAGTACAATCGACCAGTCCCAAGCAAGATGAGCAGTTGCTTTAACTCGAGGGACCCCGAGGGCTACAGTGGCACCACTGGGGTGCAAGGGGGGGCAGCAGAAGAGGGACAGGCAGGCAAATGGAGCAGCAGGATTATTACTTTAATTTATACCCCCCATCTCTCCCCCCAGATGAATATGGCAAAGCAATAAAGACCCCTCCAAACACACCTCCTATGCCAGGGCTGCGTACCTGTTGCAACTGCTTGCATCCCAAAGGGAGGCTGACCCTTCAAGGAGCCCTGGGCTGTAGCAGCCTGGACATCCCAGGAAGAGGGGTGAGATGGGGAGTGCTCCCCATGCTCTGCATCCCCCAGCCTGCCCGAGGGCAGCCAGGGCTCCCCCTGGCTGTGCCGGTGGCACCAGCACCACGCAGCCCATGTGAGCTGTGGGGTGGAGCCGCGCACACAGAAGGATGCCACCGAGACCACTAGGATTAAACATAGCACAAATACGATCATGGGCAAACATCCAAGCCAGAAGCAAGGCCTAACACAGGAGAGCAAGAGCTTCCTCCGAAGCACAGCCCCTCTCTGGACAGCCTGCGGTGGTGCGAGCAGTGCGCGATGCCTTCTGCATGCAGCTCCGCAGCACGAGGTCCAGTGTCTCTGCAGACCTATGCAAGCTGCAGGACAGGGAGAAGCCTCGCTGCAGTCAGCCCTGGCACTGACCACACGCTGCACAGGGGCTTTGCCATGGCCACCAGCAGCACACGGGTGCAGGACACTGCCATAACCAGAGCACCGTGGAGCTATGACCAGTGGGCATTGCAACCCAATGTGACCAGCCCAGAGACAGAGCTGGGAGCAAGCCACAGCTACCTCGGGCTGTCGCATCCTTCTTTCCCTGGCTCCCTGGCTAAACTGCTATCCACAGTGAAACAAGGCACATGCTCCACAAAGCTGGAGGGCAATGGGACCGCTGGGACTGATGTCCTGATCCACCTCCCCCTGGGAAACAGGGGAGGGGATTCACACAGAGCCCTCAGCCACACTGAATGCGACAAACCACTGACTCAGCAGAGCGGGGGAAACCTCTCCTGTGCCAAGAGCCTCAGCCTTAGAAAGTAAAGAATAATTTAAAATCAATTCAGATTTGGGGAAATTCTCTGGGAAATGTCTTCTCTCTTCTACCACCTGGCAATTCCACAGTCTGCTCCACAAGCACCGACTCCACAGCAGCAGCTCCTTCCTCCTCACTTCCTATTTCATTTGTGGCTAAAACGCAGAGAGTTGGCTTTGAAAGAGAACACGCACTGACAAGGAACACAGACACGGCAGCAAGGACCACCCTTGGCGCATCCAGACCCGCTTCAACTTGCAGACAGCCAGCAACGCATCTCCAGTGTCCTTGATCAACCTGATCTCTGAGGCTTTTCCTTCCCAGATTGGAGCAAACCCGGCCGCATCTGTAACCTCAGAGATCTGACTCCATCCAGCTCACGAGAGGGGAAACCCAGGGATAACAGTCATGGCCACAGCACTGTACAAGCATTACTTGCCTGTCTTGCCCAGTTACCACCCTGCAATCCTAGAGCACTGCTGCTGTAATGGAGCAAGCCCCGACAGACTGGTGTGCTGAAACAGGGCCTGTGAGCGGTACCAAGCTGCAGGGTGGTGCGGCAGAGGTGGACAGACCAGGGCAGGATCACACCAGCAGGAAAACAGCAACGTAGCAGCTACCCTCACTCAAACCCAGCTGTGCTTTCAGTTCCATCAGCAGTTCACAACGCTGCCCCCCACCTGCCCCATCACCAAAGCAGCACCTCCGGCGCAGTGTCAGTTTGGGGAGGTGACAACTTCAGCCAGAGCCGCTGATGGACAGCTTGCCCCAGCTCACCCTCTTGACCTCTGCTCACCCATCAGCCTCGCAGCTGTGTAGGGATTGAGATCACTCCTCCCTCCCAGCTATGAGACTCCACATCAGCTGGATACGCAGGGGAGACACTGTTCATTACCAGCTTGTGACTCTGCAGATTGAGTAACGCAATTAGCTGCATCCAAGTAGCCCATCTGCTCCACACTGTACACAGGAGCGTGCTTTGCAGCTCAGAGTGCCAGCCAGATCCACAACCAAGCCAGCTGCAAAGCAGGTATTCCAACCCAGGAGATGGAGCACAGCAGCAGCAAGGCAAGCGGCTGTGGCTGCTTCCCACCCTTATGGTAGGAACACAACTTTCCAGTGCTACTTCTGGGCCCCAGGAGAAGATCTTGCCCCCTAACACAAGCCCCATGTGAGGGAACACAACTGATGTGCCTGGGGAGGGGTTGCCTGCCAAAGCCACGCGGTGCTAGGTAGAGCAACCGAGTGAATGCCATAGCAGCTCTGCAGCCATGCCCTTGCCTCGGACGAGCAAGGAGCAGTACGGTGTTAGCTCAGCCCTCGGAGATGCAGAGAGACTCCAGGCAGCCGCCTGCCAAGACATGGCGCACAAGGAAACCCAGGCAAGAGCTCTCCTTTGCCAGGCAGGTCCCCAGCTCACCCTCAGCACAAGTCCCATGAACAGTGATGCTGTGAGAGATGGGTTCCCTGCGGCTGCATCACTCCTGTGTCAACAGCAAGGACCAGTCCCTCCAGGTGCTGTGACCCCCCTGACCACACTGGAGACACAGACAGGATCAGAGCCACATCCAGCCCCAGCTTGCCTGGAGACGGGCCACCAGCACGTGCAGTCGCAGGGAGGATGCTACAATGGTCTATACACAACGGAGCGGCTTCAACTACTTTGCGAGCACAAGTCTTGGATTCAACTGTCCTCGGCAGCTTCCCCCGTGAGGAGCAGGGCTGCAGGGGCTCCGGGCGAGCTGCGGGGTCGGAGGGAAGGCCGCGGGGCAGGATCAGCTCGGCAGCAGTGCCGGAAGGAGTCTCTGGGCCGAGGGGAGCAGGAGCCCAGCGTGCCCTGGGGTGCAGGGAGCCAGCGGCTGCCCCAGGCCAGCTCCACCATAAGGCAACTTTTTTTTGTTGTTTTTAATTATTTTTTGGGTTTTTTTGTTGTTTTTTTTTCTTCAATAATATTTCCAAGGAAGAAAGCAAAGGGAGATGTGTCTTTAGAAAGTTTTTTTTGTTGTTTTTTTGAGGGATTTTGGGTATTTTTTTGTTGTTGTTTCGTTTTTTTTCAAGGGAAAAGGAAGAGAAAAAAAACCTCCAGCAAAGTCCTGTCTTTGCATGCAATGGGCATTCCTGGGGCAGCTGGTGCGCCGTCCATGCAGGCTCGAGTCCAGGTGACCTGCTGGCTTCCCACTAGCTGTCCTTGCAGGAAAGGAGTCAGAACAAGCCTATCCTTGGCAAAGGTCCTTTGGTTGACTTCCAAATTGTCCGTGACAGAAGGGAGAGAGGTGGGCAGAGGGAGAGCCAGACCCTTGGGAAGGCTGGAGGCGAAGACACTGGGAAGGAGGGACCAGGAGGACGAACAGGACGATGCTCCTGTTGCGGCGGAGGGGCACCGCCGTACGTGGAATGGGAGATGTCAGCCAGGTCATGGAGATCAGAGGCTCCGCAGCATCGCTGTGGCATCGGTCCCCCATAGGGAACCTCGCTCCTCCGAGCCTCCTGAGCGGGCTGCCCTGCGATGCGAGAGGGGACACGAAGGGGAGGCGTTGGGGCCGCACAGAGCAGACTTGTTTTGGTAAATCCAGACAAACTTCTAGCAATAATTTAAAACTTGATATATATATATAATAATAAAAAAATCTCCCCTTTCTAAACCCAGCCAGAACGTGTTTGTTTGTTTGAAGAGACACCAAGACATGAGTGTGCGCACAGGAGGGGAGAAAAGGGAAAGCAAAGGGTTGGGTCTGCTGGGAGCGGGTCTGGCTCTGGTCATGGTGTTGTAATAGCAAAATGGTGTTTCAGATGCAGATCATCCTTGCTTTCCAGCCACAAGAGAAAAGAAATCGTGTGCGTTGAAGGTTTCTCCAGAGCAGCCTATTCCTGGGCACCCACCTTCCAGCTCCTTTCCTGTCTCACCTCCTCATGTCTCCCCTTCTCCGAGCCAGTCCCCCACAAACCCACCCCATCCCCTGGCAGGAAGCAGATGCTGCAGCCTCTCTACTTCCCCACTGTCTGCGATTCTGCAGCTGCCGGGGCAGGGGATTGCTGGCTCAGGTTTTTGGCATCCTCTTGTGCAGGCTGGCTGGGTGAGGCGTGGGCTTGGCTGGATGGGCACTGGCTGACCGTTTTGCTGGAAGACTGGGATGGGTAGCGCTTCCTGCCATCGCCCCCTGATGTCGTCGGATATCTCTTGTGTCCACCTTCCTCCCCCATGGGTGGCTGGAAGAGAAGCACCACCCCAGGATCAGCAGAGATTCCCCCCTGGATCAAAGAACAGTTTTCCTGCAAGCTTCCAGTTGCAGCTTCTCTCCCTGACCCACAAAGAACACACGTGCCCACCCCAAGCCCACAGATGCCCTCCTCCCCAGTCTACTGCTACCAAAGACAGACTGGCTTCTAATTAAGAACAATGGTGACAACTTGCTTCCCACCCAGGGGCACAGCCCAGAAGCCTGGCAGCCAAAGCTCCATTCAAGCCAAAGCATTTAACTCCCTCCTCAGCTCATACAGAAAGATGGGCTCATCCACGGGTCACTGCCCACAGCAGGGGAGTTGGAACTAGATGATCTTTAAGGTCTCTTCCAACCCAAACCATTCTATCATGCAGTTCTCCAGAGAGCTGTTCTGAAGCAGATCTGCAGTATTCCAACCCTGCAGCTTGTTCTTGGCCAGGCTGCAATGATCGGGTATGACACTAGGTGTCACTGACTTCCCCAAAATCCTCCATCATTTGAGGGGGGCCAAGGAGCTTTTGCAGGGGCCATCGGTGTGGTGAAGGCACTGTGGCTACTCACATCCACTCGGAAGTCCTCGAGGCGCTTGAACTTGCTGAGGTATTCTTGCAGTTTGCTGTTAATGTCCAGATTTTTGGCTTTGGAATACTTTAAGAAGGCCCAGAACTTTTCCAGCCCATAGAGCTGTCCTGGAGGGGAAGAAAACCAAACCAGACATCAGAACACTTTCCTGAAGGCTTCCCCACCACTTGCCTCACAGACCCTCCTGTCACACGGGTAGGCACAACTGAGGAAAGATGGAGAACCTAGAGGGAAGCAAACAACTGTAATGGGCAGCCCTCTTGATAGGGGATGTTCTGGTGGTGACAGAGCATTGAGAAATCCTAGAGGAACTGGTGCCTCTAGCAAAACATTTTGGAAGCTACAGCCTCTCATTGCTCTCTTCCATCCCCCCAGCAGTCTTCAGGATGATGAGCATCCACTCAACCCTTTACCATGAAGCAACAGGACATCCAGCTGATCCCTGCTGCACATGTTAATGTACAGCATTACGTGGCTTCCCCAAAATCACAGGAAGAGGCCCAGAAGCAGCCATGCAGCTGGACTATATTGCTGTCAACCCCAGGGGAAGGCCAAAAGAAGCACATACCAGCTTCATAATCCTTGATGGTCTCTTCTTGAAAGTCCTTAAATATGTCTGGCCGGAATTTCTTCTCCAGCCCATAGCTGTAGTATCTGAAAAGGCACTCCAGACCGTACCTGGAACAGAGCAGCACGTGGTGCTCAGACACTGTACGTAACACCCGAGCAGAGAGGCTCTTGAGGCAGGAGCCCTGCTGTGCACCAGCAGCAGGAGTGGACTGAGAGCAACCCCAATCCTACCTTGGAGCAAGGCAGAGATGCTGCCTTTGCTTTGCTGTGAGCCCTGCAAAAGACTGAACCCTTCTTCTTCCCTCACTCCCCTCCCAGGAAAGGCCACTCTGCCCCTCCTCTCCTACCTGTATCCCTCCTTCCCGTCCTCCACAGCAAGCTGCTTGAACTCCTCATACATTTTCTTGTTGAAGTGATCTCGGAGGAAGAAGGACCAGAACCGGAAAAGTGTGTTCATCTCCTGGGACTGACCAATGCCCAGTCGTTTCCGCTCTGTTTCGGGAAGAGGGGACATCACAAGTCAGATCTCCCAGGGACCCAGCTCTTGCACAGGGGCTCATGCAGAGCACCCACTCCAGTGCTGGACACCCATGCTCACCAAACACTGTGGTGAAACATCAGCTACCAGCAAGGTTGTCCTATAGGACCCTGCTTTTCTCCATGTGCTGGTGGCACAGACACCCTGCCCCACACCCCAGTGTCCCTACCGTTAAGGCAGCGCCGACGGTACTTGTGGTAGACATGTTGTGTGAAGCCATTCTCCTTGAGCAGCTCGTGCGAAGGATGCTGGAACTTAGGCAGGGACTGCGGGGTGCAGCCATAGCTTCCAACAGCCGGGGTCCCCTCCGAGGGGCTGGAACTGAGTATCAGAGACTCCCATCAACACCCTTCCTTGGCATCACCCAACTGGCAGTGGAGTGGGGTCACACTCTGCCCCACAGCACTTGCCTGTTGGCACCACTGACTCCCTGTGACTGTCCACTCTGGGTTTGGGACCTGGGCCATGGGGATATCCTAACAAGAAGGGAACTAGTATTTCCAACCGAGTCTCATCTTGTTGTTCCAAGGCTTCAAACTTCCCTCCTTTCAGGAGGGACAAGTTGGGTCTCAATCCTTTCTGCAGCCACCTAATAGGAGACCTCCCCTGCAAGATCAGGGACCTTTCCTTAGTGACATAGTTTACTGGTGGACTTGGCAGTGCTGGGGTAAAGGCTGGACTCAATGATCTTAAAGGTCTCTTCCAACTGAGCTTATTCTATGAGTCCAAGATCAGAGCCTGATTTTTCCCTTCCTTTCCACACTTACTCCCTTTCCCATTTCTAGCTCCTCCATGACCACATAACACCCATCTCTGGTACCTGATGGACGCAGTTCGTGGCCTGTGCTCCCGTGAGTCCATCACCCAGCCCACGTGGCACTCCATCGGAGGGTTCGAACTGTGCCTTGTCTTCCTCTTCCGTGGAGTCTGCAAGACACAGCGCATCAGGGATGTGTCCCCTTTCTCACTAGGCCCCAGCTGGGAAACCCCCATCTCCTACCCCATCACCCAGCCCCGGTCCCACCTTGGCATCTATCGTCCTTCCCTCTTTCACCACTGGGTAGAACCTCGGCGTCTGCGTTGGGTCCTTCAGCTGAGGCGTGCGAGGGGTCCGGGGGGTCCTGGTGTTGCGGTAGTTGGGTGATTCTGGTACAGTTGTAGGCAAAGACCGGGCGATGGTTGAAGGTTCAGGGACTCCAAACAACTTGTTAGCCAAAGCGTCTGTGGGTACTGCAGAGAGAAAACCCCCCACCACGGGTCAAGCTGAGCTCTGAGCATGAGGGCATCACTATAGCCAAGGGACATCCATCTGGCAGTTGGGAAGCAGCAGAGACAGGAACAGAGACACATCCTAGCCCCCTGAGACAAGCAGCTTCAAATCCAGCATGCCATCAGCTTGGCCACACAGCCCAAAGCCTAGCAGCAGATCCAAGGACTGAGCTCTCTGGGATCCCACAAGGCATCTGCTTCCCAGTGGTTAACAGCGGCAACAAATTCCCCCATTCCCAAGAGAAGGTGCCAGGCACAGACAAACAAGACCCAGCAGGCAGCTGCCTTCCAGCTACTCGGAGAGGGTGCAAGAGGAAAGTCACAGCCAGGGAGCTACATCAAAGCCTGCCAAGTTTTCCTCACTCAACTGGGACACCCCTGCTTTGGGGCCTCCTCTTCTGAAGCCCCAAAACATTCAAGTTGTGAGAAAAGCACTGCTCTGGGAAAGATAATCCCACATTCCTGTGGCCACAATTCCTTCTCCCCAGCTGCTACCCAACCTCCGATGGCCTCTTACCAGGAGGAACAGGGACAAACTCAGTCACACTTGTCTCTTACCTTGCTGGAACCTGGGGGGACCAGGAGGGACTTCCTGGTTTGGATCCACTGGGGGCTCTGGAGTCAAGGTGTCAAACTGCTCCCTGCTGATCATGTTCACCTTCTTGAAGTTCTCCACCTCTTGCTGCATTGGAAGAGGAAGATGATGAAGCAACAAACTGCCCTCTTTTCCCCTTATCCCATCAGCTCATCATGACCCCTCTCTCCACACTCTCAGCTTCTACCACCCCAGAGAGAAACACTGCTTCATGAGTGTGTCAGGTACCAGCCATGGGAATCCTGAGCCGAGCTGATAGCTCCAGCAGCCACCCCACCTTGCAGCCAAAATGATTTCCGTCGCTGAATATGTGTAGCTGAATCCCCAACTGTGAGAGTCACCAAGCTGGAACTCCAAGGCTTCAAAGCAGCAGATGGGCTTTCTATGAAAAGCCCAAGTCTGTGCAAACTGGCACCAAAATGGGGAAGAGCTCAGGCAAAGTGCAGCCCATCCATCTCTGAGCCAGTAAGCGCAGTCTCCAAGGGACTGTGCCATAAAGCACTGGGCACTATGGACAGTGCAGGGACATCCAATTTCCCCCACAGACCTGGCACTGCCTGCCAAGACCCTGGCAGCAAACAGAGCAATGAGCCCCAAGTCATCTCATTATTGTCACTGTGTTTACCTGGCTGAAGCCCTACAACCATGTTACAGAGCTGTGTTTATCCCTGATACAACAGAACACGATGCTGGGAGCCAAGAATCAAGCTCTGCAAGAGGACTAATTCCAGCTTAGCTCTAACCCATCCCACACCAAGGTGGTCAGCCTCCTGCACGCGTGCCTTCCTACACCCCCACACGCACTCCCTTCAATCAGCTGCTCTCACCTTAATCTGTGAATACTCTGGCTCAAACTGCTCTGTCCACAGGTCCTGCTCGTAGTAGTACAGCCCATCGTTGATGACCTTGGCCAGCTCCGAGCTCATTTTAGCCCTGGATGTGTGGTTGCCAGTCCGGTCCCCGCCAGGATGCCGGCGCAGGTAGGGAGGCGTCTGTGTCACGATGAGGATCTTGTTTACATCCCTGTCATCAATCTCGTAATCAGAGTCTTCGTCTGACCAGTCAGTGAAGGTGTTCTTGCGGCCGTCCATCTGCTCCATCTCCTCATCAAACAGGAAGTCTAGCTCCTCTGGCTCATCTTGGTCCTTCTGCTTTTGCTGCTGCAGTGTCTTTGACTCCTCTGGTTTCTATAGGTAGGGGTACAAGGGTGACAAAGAGTAAACACCACACAGTGACACAAGCATCGTGCTTGGAGACACAACTATTGACCCTTGTTTCTTTACTGAAGCCAAAGCTGCTCATATAGGGAGAACACCTTGTTTACACCACTGAATATCAGCTCCAAAGCGGGTCAAGATGGGTCCAGGAAAGACCTAGGACATCACTCCCATGACAAACAGACCCTATCTGATTTGAAACCTGCCTACTTATGATTCACTCAGACAACTGGGAGTGGGAGACCCCCCCAGCCCAACAGCACCTACATCAGCACCTACCTTGGGCCTGGCTGGCGAGGGCCGAGGTCTCTTCTTCACTTCAATCCATGTCTCTGAATCCAGGTCTGGCAGACTTGTGGACAGGCCCTTGGGCATTGTCTTCAAGTTACTGACCTCCTCTGTTTTGGTGGGGACTGGGCTGGCAGCACGCGGGGAGCCAGGAGCAGACTCTAGAGCCAAGAAGAGACACAAGGTGCTTTAGAGGAAGGAAGGGAGCCTGGGGAAGTGTGTAAAGCACTCGACCAAAGAGGGAGTTACTCTGGCAGCATGGCACAGCTTGATCTCCTGCCAAAACCAAGTCTTACAACAGCCCCAAGAAGATTCTTCACTTGACCTCTTGGGCCCAGCCCTGGGATCCTGAGAGCCCATAAAAGGCAGCAGACCCTTCCCCTGCAGTCAGCTGACAGCTCCATACCTGCTGCCCTATTTGTGCTCAGCATCTCCTCGTCCATTAAGGAAAAGGTGCATCTGTGAGTGTCCTCTGCTCCGCCCAGCAGTAGTAGAGTATTTCTAGGCACAGCCAAGAGACTTCCAGCAGGACTAACCCCTCCCTGAATCCCTTCAACCCCTCCAGACTCAGTCTCTTTCATGTTTCCCCACATACAGAAGTAGCAGTGCTCTGGAAGTCTGAGGATAAAGCCCATACCAGCTCGCACCACCAAGCAGAAAGCAAACGACAGAGCCTTGCCTGGGGAACACCCCAGACTCTCAGGATCTCAGTCCTGCTGCAGTACCAACACTGCATCCCACACCTCCGTCCACATTCCCCAGTGCCCACCTGTCTCTTTCTGGAAGCTTTGCCGGGGCACAAACTCAGGGCAGTTGATGAACTGTGAGAAGTCAGTCTGTGTGTAGTCTGCCATAGGAGGGCCAGGCAGAGCCCATTTTTCTGGCTGCTCTTTTCTCCTTATCTTCTCATCCACGATTTCCACCACCTTGCTGTCCTTCAGAGCCTGGAACCAAGGGATACCTGGTTAATTTATAGCCCTACCTTGGCACACTGAATGGCTCAGCCCCAGCCCTTCCTCCCTGGGAGAAAAAAGAGGAGGAGGGAGCAAGGAAAGGACAAGGGAAGGCTCCACTTGCATCTCTCCCATAGCCCATCTAGAAAACAGGCCTCAGAGAGGGATGGCAAGAAGGAAAGTTAATCTTTCCTTGCCCTCACCTTGATGATGAGGCTGATATCAGTGGTCAGCGCCTGCACCCGGTGGAAGCTGGCAATCAGGGTGATGGGAAGGAAACCATCTGAGTCCATCTTGCGGCGCAGGAAGAAGTCTCGCTCCAGGTTGTCCACACTGAAGTAGTATTCACTGTATGGACAACACATCAGTGTCAGGCAGCTCCAAGCCACCTTCCTCTGGACACCCCATAGGAAGTAATCCCCCACATTTCTGCTGCTGCAAGGCTGATAAGAGAGCCTGTGGAGCCCAGACGTGGGGCAAGCTGGTGCTCTAAGGTGTGTGGCACAGAGTCAACACACCCTGGGGCTCTAACCCTACCCACAGGATTAACTACACAGACCCCAGGGAGGATCTCTGTGAACATCCCAACGATCAGAGAAGAAGAGGTGGTGCTTACATCTGCCGCTTGATGTAGTCTTTGAGCAGTTCCTGGTCCACACTGTAGAGCTCAGCACTACTGATGTTGTCAAAGTAGTAAGTGATGTTGCTGGTGTACTTCTGCGTGCGAGAGCCATCCGAGCCCTCAAATTTCCGGTACCCATACTGGTAATCAAAGTGCCCTGTGGGACACCAGGAAGGATCAGCACAGAGCTCCTAGGATCTGCCAGACAGGGCTAGACTCTCACACAAATAGCTCCCTCTGCACTGTTCCTGGGGCCCCATGGCAGCCCACAGTGGGGCACCACCCACATCCCTCATCCTCCTGCTCTCAGCTTTTGCCACAGAAGGGATCTCAGTGAAGTTTCAACACACCAAGCCAAAGAGAGGCCAGGAACCCTCTTACCCAGGAGCAACTGGGCAGCCCAGATGGCACATAAAGACCCTACACTGAAGCTGTGCCAAGCTTTAGATGCTGGTTTGTCAAGTGCCAGTGCAGATGCTTCCCCACCCAAACCATGACTCCTGCTTGGCTCTTGCCATAAAGCCTACACAGAGTATCAGCATGCTTCAACTCCTCCACGCTGGAGTACTACAGGAGACAGAAAACAGGTGGAGGAGCTTGGTCTGAGCAGCAGAAGGGCATCTGCCTTTATTAAAATACTAGAAAGAATAATTTGCTTTCATTAAAATCAGCTCAATTTACTAGCTGGGATGACCTGCCACAGTATTTCCCTGTATCCCTACAGGGCTCTGCCCTCCCCAGCCTGCTCTGCAGCCCCAGGTCTCACACGCACACAGCCATGCACACTTCAGCACACGCTCCCTGCTGCCACAGGAGCACACATCCAGGGATCACCTCCTCTGCCCCGGCCACGGCCCCTGCCGCGGCCCCGGCCTCTGCCCCGGAAGGTCCCTCGCACAGCTCCTCCCTCACTCTTCACGCTGGAGGTTTCATCATGGTCCTGCCAGCTGCGCTCGTGCTTGTTGTCCGGGTGCCAGCCTGCAGCAGACAGGGAAGGAGGGGCAGGAGGAGTGTTACAGTGTGAAAACACCCTCCTGGAACAAGCCCGCTGCACCCAGAGCGCTTTGAATGCAGGAAGGGTGCCCGCTGTGCCATGCCTGGGCACCAGGGCTTGCTCTGCCTCGTGGCCAGGGCAGGGAGAGGGGTCCCCAGGCTGAGCCCCCACCTTTGAGCTCGCTGCGGTTGTTGGAGGGGTGCCTGTGCTGCTCGTTTTGCCGGTTGTTCCGAGAGGCTGTTTTGTCCCTAGGCACCTCTGACTTCATGTCTATCTGCAAAGGGACCCACTTGTGTTTGTTGCCTGCAAAAGGACAGGGTTTGGGTGTGACACAGGTTCAGAGAGCGTCTGCTTCCTTCCCCACAGCCCCATCTTGTCACACAGTCCCCACACATGGAGGGGAGAAAGCATCAGGGCCTTTTGGACCGACCCTGTCCTCAGACATCCCTCCAAGCCTTACTGGATGGAGAAAGTCTCCAACCAGAACTCTCGGGCATGGAGGGACATGGCACAAAACTCTCCTGCTGCTTCACTGCATTTGTCCTTCTGCCCCCTTCTGCTCATTGAGGCTCAAGCCAGACTGAGCCCATGTGTCGCCCATGGCTGATGCAATCCAGTCAGGGAGTGTACTGTGCCTCCAGAGTGCACATGGAAGGGTAGACCACTGCCACACTCAGACACTGAAGACACCCCTGCTCCACCATAATGACACTCAGCCCGCCCTGAAGCCTGAAAACACCCTAGGTGTCCCTGCACTGGGACCATGTCCTGCAGCAAGGCCCCCAGGGAAGACAGTGGATGCTTCCACCTAGCTGAGAGTCACAGAACAGGAGACAGACTGTCCCCATCAGGTCCTGCCTTACCTTTCTTCTTCTGGGATGACTTCTGGTTGTCATCGTCACCATTCTTCTCCTCCCCAGACTCATCTGATTTGGTTTTCAGGCTCTCTTTGCCATCGCTCCCATCTCCTTTCTCCTGCTCTTTCATGTCTTTCTTGACAGGCAGCTTCCGAAGGGATGGTGCCTTATGTGGCTGCTGGAGACACACCAGTGGAGGGAAGATGTGAGAGGCGGGAGACATGAAGTGCTGGAGGCAGACCTCAGCTGGCCCAGCAGCAACAGGAACCAGAGGACCCTGCCCTAGGCTGGAAGCAACCCTGTTCTGTGCCCCTCAGAGATGTTCTGTTCCTGGCAAAGAGCAGGGCAAGGGCCTCTAGAGAAGCTGGGAAGTGCTCAATCTGAGACACAAGCCCCAGGCATAGAAGTTACTAAAATGGACTGCCAGGGAGGCCTGGTGCTCCTGGACAGTTACCCTGCAAGGGACCAGACTGCCCCAATGGCAAAAGGGTGAGTGAACCTCATGCCCTGACAGACAGCCACGAGCTGGCAGAGCAGCATTTAAAAATAGAAAGGTTTCAAGGACAGCCATGTCTGGAGCAGGAGAAGGCCATGGCCCATGGGCACACGAGACCCTTCTCACGCATTTTCTCCTATAGAAGACTTCTGCCCAGGCCCCTTCTTGCACTGAGCACCCTGAGGAGAGCGGGTCCAGGAGCTGCCTTACCTGCTGCACCCAGCCCAGGGATTTAGACAGGGCTCCAAGCTCCCAGAATAGCACTGAGGGAGAGAGCTGGACAGACAGAGCAGCCCTAAAAGGAAATCCCCTGCACGCTATTCCTGGCTGCTTCTGCACTGACGGCACCCCAAATGGCCCCAGCTCAGCCAGTGCTTCCAGAGGGACAGGGAGGTCTGCAAGGGCCTTATCCTGCTCATTGGAGTGATTCTGTGTTCTCACCTGGACGCTCTTGTGGGCTATCTCTCCTGGTGTTGGCCAGTTTGTGGCATCACCGAAGTCACCAACCTTGTAACCAAAGAGAAAGGTTCTGTTAGTGCACAAACTGCAGACACCATTCCCTGCATCAGCAGCCAGAATCCCTTCCACTACCTACCACCATCCTGCAGATGGGTGTCCAAGTTTAGGGATGCCATCCAAACATATATACACACAGACCCTGTCCCCACCCAAGCAGGGACCCAAATCCATCCCAAATAACTGCAGACAAATTTAATGTCTATAAGGGGTTGTACTGAGGCTGCCAGCAGCCCCGTAAACCACCAGCCTCTCAGCTGCCACCATTTTGCCCCAACAGCAGTATTTGGCACCAAGTTATGGAGGTTAACTCACTCATCACAAGCACTATCCTTGGACAGTGAAAGCACACAGCTTTCAGCATCCGAAATCCACCTGAAGCAACTACATCCCATTAAAGAAGCTGCTTCCACCTAGTGGCAGGTGACAGCCAGGCACAGCTTCACTTCAGTGCCCAACTCAACCAAGGGCTGACACTAACAAAGCAAAGGGATCATGAAGTAGAAGTGGTAGGAAAACTCATGCGAGTGTCTGATGGTGATGGGTGCTCCCTCATTCCAGACACCACATCAGGGACCACCAGTCACTTCTCTGCTAAACAAATGACCTGGCCACTACCATCATTTCTACCTCTTCCAGGTTTCGGAGAGGACCTGCAGGACACAAAGGACCCAAATACTTGCCCAGACACACCATGAACCACGGCTGGGCACTGAGTTTATCTGGTCACAGAAACACCTCCTTCCCCTTGTGGGCTTATTAGTTCTAAGTTAATTTGGAGTCATTGAGTCCCTTGGATCACATCTCTACATGCAGGTGCCATGCTCCTCTCCCCAGAAGGCAGGTGTCCTCGGAAAACTACTTCCAGTGCAAGGCCTGTTTCAGCCAGGAGCACCTTCCATCCCAGGACCCTCCTCTCCCTGATGTGGTACAGATAAGGAAAGTCTTACCAAGTTTTAGATAGGTCTTCACTGGCTGTTGGGAGCCAAACCAACAGCCCGTGTCCCTGCCTGCGCCCCACCTGCATGCAACATCCTCTGAAGCAACTGTCCCTGCATCACATGCTGATCTGGAACAGATTGCCCTGGTTCCTCCAAAGCAGTCGAATTGTTTGAAATCAATTACCCTGACTCTCCATGTGCCAGGAAAGAACAGATTGCACAAGAAAGGACCTGCAGACACTGCTCCATCACACCACCGCCCTGTCTGCACTGCAAAGCAGGGCACTGGCTAAGCTCCCAAGGGATTTGTGTGAAGGGGAGAGGGTTTCCACATCAAGGACTGTGTTCCAAGTGCCTCCCTGTGGAAGGCGAGGTGAGGTCTCCCCTGGCCTAACTGGGCAGAAAACTAGTCCAGGCTGCATTCAAGACCATTAAAACACTTAAGAGGAGATGGAGAATCAGGATGTTCTTCTTGCAAGTGGCCAGGCCAGTACATAAACCCTCCATAATCAGGCTTGTGATGCGGTCTGCTCGTGTATCACTGCCAAAGGCACCAGGAGCTGGAGGCCAGCGATGGGACAGCAGACACAGCCTTACCTTGCTTCCCTTCCGCGGTCTGGGGTTGGCAGCCCTCACCACCTTCGCAGGAGTTGTATGTTCTGCAAGAGGAGGAGAACAAAACTTAGAACACAGCTGAGGGTTTGTGGAAGTGTTAGCCCTGGAGGAAGCAAAGGGTGCCCAAGAAGAAAAGCTGAACAGACAACAGAGCCAGCTTCTGACCTGGATCTCAGAAGGGCCGCAGCAAGATCAGAACACTTCTGATTCATCTAAGTGGCCAAGAAATGGACCTTTGCCCCCATCCTGCTGCAGGAAGGCACTCCCTGACTTAGCTCAGCCCTCCCTACTTGGCCTTGCCAGCCAGGGAGGAGGGGTGGCGAGAAGTTCAGCTCGCTCTGTGAAGCACCACGCAGAACTTGATCTGCTGTTATGCACAGCAGAACAAACATGCCCTTGAACAGGCAAGGCCCATCACCACCAGTGTGGCCAACCCTCCCCAAGGGAGGGGAGAAGGGCTCTGACACAGGGACGCACATGGGTGTTGCTCAGCTCGTGCTTTCATCTCTAGTACATCCCAGCACGGGGCAGTGAGTTCATGAGAGGGAATGTACAGAGAGAAGAAGCCAGACCGGGGAAGTGCTTCAATCCTGCTACAGGCAAGAGTATTTAGGCACTTGAGTGCCTCCGGGGAGTTGTAAGAGTGCAACTGCTGGGGTCTGCACCACTATGGACCTGTAGCAAGTCAAGACCTCAGCTCCACCATGATGTGCCTTGCTTCCTGCTCACACACCACCTCCTTATAAGCAGGAGAAGAAATCGGACTCAGGTTCTCCCTCCTCCCAGGGCTGGCTGCAAGGTCTGCAGATCAGGCTCAAACAGAATCCAACAGAGCAGCACACCACTCAACGCAAGAGGAAAGCCCGCTGGCCCTTGCCTTGAGGGGCATTTCTGCTGACTCCACTGGTTCAGAAGACAAGCACCCAGGACTGGGGTGGAGGGTGAGGGTGGGAGAAAGGTGAAGAGCCCTGAGGGATGGCAGAGGCTATGTGGGGATGTCCCAGGAAACACCCTGAACAACCTACCCAGCCCCACTCAAAGGTGGCTTTGATCTCCTGTGTAAGGAAGGACAACTTTGCCTAGATGATCAAAACGGGCCCCTTGCTAGCCTGGAAACCTGTGATTCATCCTGCCAGCCCAGCCTTGCTCAGGGCTGCAGGCTTTGAAGTGTCAGCAAGGCAGAGGCAGCCATGGCAGGACGGAGCCACGTGCGCTCCCCTTCCCCAAGGTTCCCAAATGGGGATTCCACCCCCAGGAGACACCAGAGCTCTCAGATAGGTCCCTGAATCTTCCCCTTTCCTCCGAGAGCCTCTCCCCACAAGCAGCATCAGTCTCATGTGTCCCTCACTTATTCCACGTGCACCTCATTGAGAATCCCAGCTCCACAGCACAAAGCTTGCCACGAGGCTTTTAAACTTCCCTGTTAGTGTAGGAAGAGCGAGCACTTTCCAAACAGCCCCTAAAATCCTTCACTCAACACCCACAGATGTCACCTACTAAATATAGCTTCAAAAGGCACCCAGTGCTACAGCACAAACCCACAGCCAGCCCACTTTTCCACAGGTACGGAGCACCCCTGCTTGCTCCTACAGCACCGACATGCTGGCACCGCAGGGAAGGAGAACTGAACTTGCTCTGCAGGCTCATCAGACACCCATCTTAAGGCTGGGGGAGAGCAGGGCTCACTGCAAGCATCCCACCTCAGTGCCTGCTCCCTCCACACTGCAGCCCCAGCCTTCACATCTATGGCATCCAGCCGTTCTCTCCAGCTGCTTTCAGTTTCGAAGCCTCATGGCCATGAGATGTTCTTCTGGGGGTCCAGGCAAAGAGAGGACCTCTCACAACCCCTAGTGAAAGAGGCACACACAGGCTGCAGGGGTGGGTGCCACAGACTCCATGTCTTTATGGGGGAGGAATGAGATTGTTTGAAACAAGTTCTGCTGCTTTCCTTATCTGCAAGATAGGAGCAGGGATCCCTTATCTAGCCGAGGTGCTGAGAAGACTCATTAGCATCTGCAGAGCGCTGCGGAAGACAAAACACAAAGCAAAGCAAAGGGCTGCAGCCTGGCAAGGAGGCTGCTCCAGGGAGCGAGGCCAAGCCAGCGCCACGGCAGGGGCTGAGGCACCTCTCAGCAGCGTGGATGGAGTCAGGATCTGCAAGTCATGGTGGAGAGCACTCAGAGCAAGGCGGGAGGCTGAGGGTGTAACTGCTGTGGATACACAGACACACACAGCCAAAAGCCATGGCAGGCAGAAGCTGAGTGTGCCTGGCACTCCCCAGGGCACGCCAGCCTAACCAAGGGCCCCCAGGCTCCTGGCCATCAAACCCAAAACTGCTTTTCATGTTCCCTTGCAGAGACTCAAACAAACCCAAGTGTTTAACAAACCAAACCCAAAACACATTTGGGCTAATCCAGGTGCTCAAAAACCTTCCTATGAGGACAGGAACACATCTTGGGTTCCAAACCCCACTGGCCTTCATCACTGCATCAACTTGGGTGATAGGGAGCAAGTAGGCGATGCTCACCCCCCTCCAGTAGCTTGGACAAGGAGTGCTAGCGAGGGATACTAGCCCTGGCTGATAGCTGAGCCCTTAAAAGCTGCTCACAGATGTCTCAGACCTCCTGGCATCTCACAAACCTCCTTTTGCATCTATTTGGTGCAACCTTTAGTTGCACTAACACTGCCTGACTGCCTTCCCCTCAAAAAACAGGGCCCTTCTGTGCAAGAGGACAGACAAAACAGCTACAGCAGGAGCCAGGGCTTTAGTGGTGTGAGGCTGGCAAGGAAACAACAGGCAGGGAAGGAAGGAGCAGCTCTGCCTGCAGCCACAGAGCAGCTGCTGGCACAGCCAGGAACAGAAAAGCAGGTTTTGATCTGCTGCCTGCAGCCAGAACCAGATCCTTTGCCCATGGGGTTTGCCTAGCCACAAGATTATTTCTTAGCAACCAAGGGGATGAGGCAGAGGTGGGAGCAGCCCAGCCCCATGCCAGCACTGCAGCCAAACCCCTCCTGTGGCCAAGGCACAGCAGGAGCATTCCTTGGCTTTTGATGCTCGTTCCCCAGTGAGCACCGAGCAGGGCGATGCTGTGCAGACACCTCGTGCTTCCCTTCCAGCACAGCACAGCAGCCCTCCATGCACGAAGCTCAAGGGGGTGACCAAGTGAGCCAACACTTTGTACCTGGAAGGAAAAGAGCTGTTGCACAAGGACCAGACAGGGTGACAGCAGCTCCACAGCTAAATGAGTTATCCCCTCACGCTGAGATGGACACGTGCTGTAGGACCACTGAGCTTGGCCCAGGAGACCTATCTACTAACTCACCTGGGAAAATCAAACCCAGTGATGCCACCCTGTTTCCCTGCCTCTTCTCGTACCTAATGCAGCTTCTAATGGGTTTGTAGAGAAGGCAGATGAAGAGGAGGAATAAATCTGCAGGGCTGGTGTTATACTGCAGAAACACCTGCACCTCCATAGAAAGCTGTAGTGCCTGCTCCTGGTGTATCACAGCATAGACAAGGGCTCAGAGCACCACAGCAACAGCTGGGACAGCCTCAGAGGGCAGCCCAGGTTCCCGTCAGGAATGTAGGGTGCTCAGCTCCGGCTCTGCCCCGGACACAGCAGAGCCCTCCTTCCCCACACGAGCTGCTGCAGCCCACGGGACAAAGTGCTGATGAAGGCCATTCTGGAGCCAAGAGCCCAGACTTTCCGCTGGAGAGGCTAAGGCAGGGTGCATGCTCCGTGCGTCCTGCTGGGAATGGTAGAGCTGAACTGGTATTCCCAGAGCCCCAAGGGTGTCGTGTGGGACAGCCAGACATGCGCCCTGCAGTCCAGTGGGATCCACTTCACTACCCAACAGTCTGAGTGATCCCTTCTCCTTCACATGCTCCATGGGACAGTCCCAGCACACAGGACGATCACAGTTCATAACCAACATGATGGACACCCACTCTGACAATGCTTCTTCAAGGTCTTCAGGTGAGGAAGAGCAAGTGCAGCTCAGGCAAGGCTGAGCTGAGTCCTGAGCAGTCTGGGCAGGTTGCAAGGGGAATATTGTCCCAGTCAAAGTGACACAGCAAGAAAAAGTTACTGCATTAACCTCCTGAGAAACAATGGACACCCAGGTATGACAGCTTGTGAGAGAAGACAGAAACCATCAGCTTACACTGAAGAGGACTACTACTTGCTCACAATTACATATACATGCTCATTGTCCAGGCAGAGAACATCAGCCTGGGAATTAGCTGTTTCCCTGTAGATAGCCAGAGTCTTTCCAGGAGGGTCCCTGTTGGGGTTGGGGTACAACACACAGGAGGGACATGGTGGGACAGCACCAATCTGCAAAGCAATTCCTGTAGGAAAGAGGGACCCAGCAGGCAGCCAGAGCCAAGGCTGCGAGGACCCCACTATGCCTGCAAGAATCCCCTTGCTGGTCTCAGAGGCGACCCCAATGCAAAACAGCTGCACAAAGGCACATTCCCACCTTGCCACCATGGGAAACTCAGGGCACCAACCCTGTCTCAAGAAAGCTGTCCAACAGGGCAGCCTGACCCACACAGCAGCAGGGACAAGACACTGATTCAGAGGCTCTCCTGCGGCACTCATCACTTCCTATGCATTCACACTCCATGACTTGGCATTTCAGCCTGACTGAGCCATCAGAGGACACAGCTGATGAGCTTCACACCCACCAACACTACACCTTCTCCAGAGACATTTGCAGAGTCAGTCGTGCAGACCAGATGTGACCTGCAAGCCAACAGCAGCCTTCCCCCATCCCACCAGCAGCCTCCCGTGGCTTCTGTACCTGGTTCTTCATCAGCAAGACAGCAGCAGTGACAGCACATCCTTACTGTAAAGGTGTTGGGAGGCACAGGCAAACAGGAGGGAATTCAGTCTCCGCAGGTAGCAGCCCTGCATGCACAGAGGTGCTGATACCCCCAGAGACCAAGCAGCATCTTCCACCTGTGCAGGCCTTCAAGGAGCTGCTCCCAGCACCAGCTTCAGCCATGTATGAGAACTAATGTCAGACTAAGATGGGAAAT